TCTAAACAAATTGATTTAGCTATTTTTGTAGATTCTAAACAGATTGAATTAACTATACCAGATGAATTACCTGAATAAGTTAAATCTTGTTATTATATATTATTTATAATTTGGCTACTATAGTTTAAATATCTTGAGTAATGATATTACATAAAGGTAATAACTTCTCACAATTACCTTTGGAATTTTTTTCATCTGAAATTTGGATGTTGAATATGCATTCTAAAATAATGGCTTTTGACAAAAAATAAATGTAATTTTTAATAATCATTATTTTCATCGATGTTTTCATTTTTTATAGTATTAACAAGTTGAAGTGATGTACTAATAAAACAAATAAATGAATAATTCAAGTAATTATAATACTAATACAGCAATAAAATGAATAAACGATTAATTCGATTAAACGAGTAGTTCGAATAAAACAAATAATTCGAATAAAACAAATTGAAATAAGTTGGAATGATTTAGATATGGGCTTTTTTATATTCGAATTATTCGTTTATTTGAACTATTCAAATTTATTCATTTATTCGTTAATTTGTTTTATTCGAATTATTCGTTTATTCGTTTTATTCGAATTATTATTATCAAATTATCAAATTATTAGTAACTAGTATTAGTTACTCATTTCATTCGAATAAACTTTCAATGTAATTCAGAATACTCGGATTCATAACGAGTAAAACATAATTCAAATAAACCTTATTCGAATAGAAATTCTAATCAAGCGGTATAGTCGTATATAGTGGTTTAAACATTGTTGGCTGTGCGCTGGGTAAAGATATGATTTTAATACTAAGCTGAATTGTTGTAATTTATTAAAATCTTATGATGAAATAATTTGAATGAAATAAATGAGATAATTATGATCCATTTTAGGAAGTTGAACTCTCCACAAGTACACTCATTCTAACCATCATGTTTATTAATTAGATATGAAAATTTTTATTAGATCAATTCATTTTTATAAAACAATCTTGTCTTGTGTTATTATGAATGAAATCTATGAAATGTAACATAATTTCTAAGCTATATAAAATAATATTTAAAAATAATATTTAAAAAATCAGAAAATAAATAGAAAAATAAAATAATTTACCTCATTAAGAAATTCATCAGAAATATTCTGTGAATTA